TCCTCCTCTCTTCCTCCTCTTTCCCCCCTTCCTCTCTCTCCTCTCCTCTCCTCTCCTCTCCTCTCCTCTCCTCTCCTCTCTCCTCTCCTCCTCTCCTCTCCTCTCCTCTCCTCTCCTCTCCTCTCCTCCCCTCCCTCCTCTCCCATCCCATCCCATCCCATCCCATCCCATCCATCATCCATCCATCTTATCTTATCTTATCTTATCTTATCTTATCTTATCTTATCTTATCTTATCTTATCTTATCTTATCTTATTTATCTTATCTTATCTTATTATCTTATCTTATATTATCTATATCCCATCCCATCCCATCCCATCCATCCCATCCCATCCCATCCCATCCCATCCCATCCCATCCATCCATCCCATCCCAATCCCATCCCATCCCATCCCATCCCATCCCATCCCACCCATCCCATCCCATCCCATCCCATCCCTTCTTGTTTCCCATTCCTTTCCTTTCCCTCCTCTTCTCCCCATCCATTCACACACAGTCACACATGCACACTCATACACTCGCACAAGCTCACACATGCATTCACACGCACATACATCCACACACATGCACTCACACATGCATGCATGTGCACCCACACATACACAAAATATGCACACACATGCATACACATGTACTCACACATGCACACATACACACATACACACACATGCACACAGACACACACACACACATGCACACAGACACACACATGCACACATATACACTCACACATGCCTACATACACTCACTCATGCATACATGCACACATACACTCATACATGCACACATACACTCACTCATGCACACATACACTCATGTATGCACACACATACAATCCCATTTGTATGCACATGCCCTCATACATGTACACATATGCCCTCACACATGTATCATACACTCACACATGCACACACATACACACACATACACTTACTTATGCACAGTCATACACTCACATGTGCACACACATAACTCATACATGCACAATCATATACTCATATGTGCACACACATGCACTCACACATGCACAGACATATACTACACAGGCACACTCATACACTTACACATGCACACGTATACACTCACACATATACACACATACTCACACATGCATGCATGCACTCGTATACACTCACAGACGTGCACACATTCACTCACACAGGCACACTTGTACACTCACACATAGCCTACATGTATGCACATGTACACTCACACATGCACACAAATACACTCACACATGCACACATACACTCACATGCATTTAGACGCACACTCATACACACACACATGCACACACATATGCACACACATACACTCACACATGCACACACATACACATATGCACACATACATTTACATACTCAGACACATACACTAACACATGCACACACATACACTCATTAATGCACATATACACTCACATCCAAACACATACCCTCACACATCTACACACATACGCTCACACATACACTCATACATGCTCACAAACACTCAGATGTGCACACACACACACACACACACACACACACACACACACACACACACACACACACACACACACACACACACACACACACACACACACACACACACACACACACACACACACACACACAACACACACACACACACACACACACACACACACACACACACACACACACACACACACACACACACACATATACCCACACATGCATGCTCATACACTCACCCATGTACACACATACACTTATACATACACACACATACATTTACACATATACACACATGCACACACATACAATCACACATACACTCATACATACACTCACACATGCACACATACAATCACATATGCACACATATACATGCACTCATACATGCACGCTCATACACTCACACATGCACACAAACCTGCACACACCTGCACTCGTTTTCTATTCGCGAGTCCAAGTGAGGGTGCAGCCGCATGGAGGATGAGCAGTCAGCAGGTTAGCTAATGATGAGCAAATGAGTGAATGAGTCCTGCAGCTGGCCCATCGTGGGGAGGTGGGGGCACAGTCTGAGAGTGAGTGAGAGCTGAAGTTGGGTTTATATATCTTTGCCTCCGGCACAGGCAGTGGGTGTCCACGTGGGGTGTATATTTAGAATTGTGCCATGAGGGGTCACAAGCCTCATGACAAACACATGCAAACCGGCAAGGTCTGTGAGCTAGTGAATATGTGGTCTGTGAGATTGCATGATTATGCAGTATGCTATACACACACACACGCACATGCACACGCACATACGCCACATACATGTTCCCCACACACTCATGCACCTCACACACATATGCCACATACGTCTACCCCGCACACATAAACCCCACACACACCAGCTGCTTCCTCCCCACAATGCACCCCCATCTCCCGCCAATACTCAGATAGAAGTATAAGTAAATATAAAGACAGACAGATAGACAGCAAAACAGATAGAAGACCAAATTAATTACTTTACCCTCCCTTTTTACCACTGC